CTTACTTATCACTAACGGATACATATCATGCTTATAACTCTCTCTCTCTCTCTCTTTTCCCACTCACTCTCATTGTTTCTCTCTTCCAGAACGACCTATTTTCAATGGGTAATATGTACAACAACAATGTCATGAAATAACACTCACTCAAATCCTTATTTTTCCTCGCAACTCGAATTTTCACTCAAATTCTCTTAATAATTGCGAATAAAGAGAGTTCGAAATAAGCTTTTGTTACTCATGAGTGACTACTCAGTAAATGCATTCTCTCCAGTATTTTCATTTTTTTTAGTTATTTATGTATATATACAACAATAAGTAGACATACATATATTTGACCTATTTTCCAAGTTTTGCTATAACTTCAAACAAAAATTCCCGGTTGTCCTTCCCTTTTCCCCGGGTTGCTTTCGTACACATACAAATAAAATGCAAGCTCTGTTATGTGTTTTTACACATACAAATAAAATGCAAGTCTTTGTGTGTGTGTATGTGTTTTTGGTTCAGTTGAATGTGTGTGAGCATCACAGCATCTTTGTATGCGAGATGTTCCCACACGTATAACAATGACATAAACAACAATTGGGGGAGGGAATGAATGTTAGTGAAGTGAAGTATGCGAAGAGGAGAACACAACCACGAAAAGTGAAATAGCATCACAAACATATAAACATATCCTTGTATAGCGTACATATGTTGTATTGTTAGAATGGCCTAAGTAAAATGATATGAACGTACACACATATGTATATACACATTGACACATATTGTGACAAATAAAGATCAAAGCCAAGTGAAAAATACTTCAAGGGAGTAAGAAACACAATGTCCATTATCCAGAAACTCCGTGGAACACACACTATACGAAAGGATGTTTGTATTTTCTTTTTTTGGCAAAAAACGTATATAGACGGATTAATATGTATGTGCATAATGATGGTGTGCCAACATAATTGACATAAAAGCTTTCCTGCATACAACATTTGGCTATATGGTTGGGTCAATCGATGATTTTTCTTTTGTTTCGGCCCCAATGGTTTCATCGTGGGGTTGGCAACTTTAAGTGGTTTCATAGGGTTTATTTCACTTAGCCTCAATATGCCACAGAAATTGAAGTATGTAAACTAATTCAAATCCTATCAAATGCCAAACCAAAAAAACAAAACATTTTTTTAATAATTTTGACCAATAAATAAAACATATCCATAATCCGAGTTATTAATGGCCACTCAAATATTTTTTAAAACGCAGTACACACTACAATTTCTACTGAAAGTTATCATCGATTACAGAACATAACTGATTTAAAAGTTATCGATTATTGACAAATACCACCAACATTGTGCCTGTCTTTAGTCAGCAATTAGAATTTTTGCAAATGTTTACAGGATTTCGAAAATTTGTCCAACAAAAGAGAGAATATTTTAAAATATATGACAATTGTGTCACAAAGAGTTTACTAGTTTTCACAGTATAAATTAAATAATTAATAATAATAACAAATTAGGTGTTCTATGGTTAGAGGTCAACTCTTTGAGCAATAAGTCGAATAGTTGAACTTTTTAACATTTATGTATGGATCAGAAAAATAATAATAGTAAATTTCTTCCAAAAATGAGTAGGAAAATTAAACAGACAGACCTATTCATTATAGAAGTTTTGCCTATAATACGTTTAGGCAATTAGATAAAATGCCTGAAATATGATTTTAACCTGTGACACTAAGAATATAAATAAAACAAATACCCCAAAATCCATGTCAAGATATTAGAAAAGAAAATGAAAATAATGTATCTGTGACTTGACATCTATTTATAACCTCTGATTTGAGATGAACATCAATAATGGCAGTGCCTCTTTTTCTTTTTCCCTTGGTGTGAAAACAAGGAAGAAAGAAAAAAACATTTCCAGACGTATGTATGTATGTCCATGATGACAATAAAGGCACTTACTTACTATTGTAAACTTCCACTGTTCTGTTTCTGCCTTTGGTTTTTGGCAATTAACCACAGACTAATGGATTTTATTGTAATATCACATTAGATCTGTCTCATCCCCCACATAACTTCCCTATAGAAGGCCAAATATTTACCAGACAACATAGAATACATTTATGTTTGTAATTAAAAAGATATGCTAAGATTTATGCAAAAAATGGTCTTGCCACTTGAATACAAATATATGTATATATGGTATAAGTGTGTGTGTGTGACCATAATTAAAATCTATTGTAGTTCTACTTTGCACATTTTTCTGTATCCTTAACATTGTCATAAACAGTCATTTACACTCGAAAATGTGTTTCGCCATTTTCTTGCCAGGACAATGTGTACCACTTTGCCAAATGTATTCTACTGTTAAGAGAGGAAGAAAAAATGTGAATGCTTTTAATTCATGGCTTGGATTATATGTTAGCCAACATGTTGCGTATGAGCAATATTTCTTAACTCCAGAGTTTGTTGTTCAACAACATTAAAAAAAAAACATATTTATATAGAAATGAGGCCGAAGGACTTGTATTTTTCTGAAAAGAGTATTTTTTTATTTTATTGAATTCAATTTGTTATTATATTTAGTAAATATGATCAAGTTAAATGAATACTGCCATTGAAAGTTAGTATAATATTGAATTAAATTATTTAATTATTTAATACCACATTTTTTCAGCCAATTTAAGAATCTAATATTTAGCATATTTGACACCACTGTTCTTTGAAAAAAAAAACTCAAAAATATCAAAAAAAATGTATGAAGTCTCTTAAAGAAAACCAGTTTTTCATTTAAAAATTCTTAATTATATGTTTTAAAATTACATATTAGATTTTGAAGTACAATCTGACATTATCTGGTTAATATACACAAATACCGGTCTTAAATCCAACTTTCCATTTAGTTTTGAATTCCCTTTCCAATTACCATTATTCTTCTTCCTTTGTTCTGTTACTAAGTAAAACATTGTAAACATTCACACTCATAAACAAATCTCCATACACACACACACCAGAACGAGGTTAAAACAACTTATTGCTAAAATGAATGCACAAAATTACTTAACCCTGAAAAATATTTCAAATTGCACTTCAGAGCGCAAGTATTGACACAGTTTTTGTGCCAGCAGCAGCAGCAACAACGACAACAACAATAATAAAAACGCCTACAAATTTCGGCCCACATACATACATTTCTTCCACTCACGACAACAACACCAACAAAAAGTAAAAATCTCAAAGATCTAGGTCATCTCCTCCTCATCGCACACAGTGATTTTATTGTGTGGACTATAATAATAATAACATATACAACAACAACAATGGGAACAACGACAAAAAATGTCAACTTTGCCGCCATTAAAAAAAACAGAAAATACAAAACCCAACAAAACTTTCTCAAAAAAAATTAAATTGCTATGCAATGAAGAAAATATATGCTCCATCAAAATATATAGCATACTTTTGGGTGTCAGAATCGAAAATCGTTGGGGTATGAGGCACACACAAACACAGTGGAGATTTGGGTTAGTGGAACACAAAAAACCATCACTTTATTTTGAATTGAAAGTAAGGCTGAAATACACACTTTATAAACTTACAAAAGTGCACATAACAACAAATTAATTATTTCCCAAACCAATTTAAAAATGACTTAATTAACATGAAATATACAAATCTATATTATGGAGATTTCAATAACCAATTAAATATCTATTAAAAATTCTGTTAATTAAATTCACATTCTTCCAACATATAAATCATGTCAAGGCTATATCAGTCTGCTATGTATTCAAAATTTATTTAGAGATTCACATTATGCCTTATTCTAGGTTCCAGCAACATGGTTACTCGTAGGCGGCAATTACTTTCCCTTAGCCTAACACCCAATCGTCTGCCACATCACCTAAATGGATTCATCGCCCAATTGTTAGTTGCATCTAATGGTTATTTACATCCTTACAATTGCATTTATGTTGGCCCACTTTTTGAAGTCTTCTTCAATTCACAAAGTAGGTCACAGGCAACAATACATAAGATGTATATATATATACTCACACGACATACAAACACACATACTCACAGTGTTCTTTTATACCATCTGAAGCTTATGTATTTTACATTGAAACTATGTACTTTTTCTGTCGGTAAATTGGTAGTTTCATCGGCATTTTTGCTATTGCAATTGAAAGTTGTCCATGGACACCATCTGCTGCTGCAACAGCAGCATGTTTTTTATATTATTATTGTTGTTATGTGTGTGTGTGTGTTATGCTTTTGTTGTTGCTTTACTTTTTACAAATGACCTCGTGCCAATTTCACATTTTCCACTCGATGATGAACAAAACTCTTGCATGTGCACAAGGACACCACAGGTGATGGGTAATGGTTGGCACCACCTCCTAACTACCTATCTACCGACCAACCGACCGACCCATAGTCATGTAAAAGTAAAGTGTTTGGCTTGTTACTCATCTCGTGGCGCGCGCCATCAACATTCGAAACTTGGGTCGCCGCCGTGTTTGGTAGTTACAACACGTTTTTCTGCTGCAACTGCACACACAAGTAAATGAACGAGTGAATAAGTAAGCGAGCGAACGAACGAGTGAGCAAACAAGTGAGTTTTCGTCATCGTTTCAAGTCGGCATCCTTTCGTTGTAACCGTTATACACATGCTGGCGCTTAAAAACATATCATAGGAGCCTTGCATTGGTTTTACCGCCGCATCATCACCATGTTTCATTTGTAACTGGCACCGGCCACGCACCGGTTTTTATTGCAAAAATTCCAATATCCTCATTGCGTTTTATAATTCCTGTCCACAAATAAATTTCATAAAATTCGTAACAACAATTAATTATAAAAATTTACAAAAAAATGAAAGTATATCCCCGTTTCAACAGACGCAAAGTATGTACTATTTAGTATTTACAATATCTATAAAAAAACAAATCAAATACATTCCATTGTCTAATTCGATTATTTTATTGTTTCCCCCACCTCTCTTTTCAGGCCAATAAGACAAGATTTGTTTGTACCTGGAAGGGCTGCACTATCAGTGAGCATACAAAGGCAAAAATTGAACGTCACATACGTATTGTCCATCTTGGGTAAGTACTGGCAGTTTGTTTATTTAAAATTGTTTACATACATATCAAATTGAATTTTGGTGGTAATTCTCCCCTATATTACTAGTTCACTTCATTCATATTTGTTTCGATTGACATTTAAATTACATGAATTCACAACCTTGAGCCTTGAGCAGTGGCAATACAATAGCACCGAACAAAACACATTTGCCTTGGCCGACACAAATTGCGCCCGCGCAACTTTTTTTCTCTTGCCGAGCCAAGAAACGAAGTATACGATTTTGCCCCACAACACGATTCAAACTAGAGCCGAAGAGTCAAACAAAAGGCGGTACAGTGCTCTAGTTACTGCGAAAGTAGGTTAGTTTGGCATTTTTTGTGCTTGGCTTTTTGCAACGTACCGGTAGCAGTAAATGCACACACACAAGCATAGGCTAGTGGAAATCAGGACATTGGGCCAAGGTTTCGAATGCGTTTAAATCCCGCACCACCATCTCCGCCCAACTCTTTGCTTTTATCCTTATCTACAATAAAACAATGCGTTGTTGTTTTTTTGTCTTCTTTCTTTCTTTAATATAGGTTAAGTTGTTGTTTTTTCTTTAGTTTGCAATATTGTTTATTATTTTTAATTCTCTGCAAATATGTATATATAGGTATTGTATATAGGTGGTATATATAGCAAAAACACTACACTCTAGTACAAATTGTATTGTATTGTTTGTCTGTTTCAATGTGTGTACAATAATTATAGTAATCAGAATAAGAAGAAGAACATCTAACAAAGTGTATTTTATAATTCTAAATGAATTGAACATATTTATTATATAATATCATATATAATTCTTAGATAGACAATCCATACAATGTATTTAAAATCTGTTTGGTTGTCTGTTCGTCCGTCCGTCCATCCATCAAACCTCTCCTCCCACGCATTGTTTTAAAAACTAATTTATAATTTAAAATAATAATAAATATAATCTCATATATAATAAATATAAAAAAAAACAAATGCATACCAGTGTAAATAGTTTACATTACATTGCTATTCTTAAATGATAGACAAAGGCAAAACATTCATTTAACTTTTCTTAACATAACTTTGTTCTCAGTTCTTGAAACGATCCACCAACAATCATAGCTTAATAATCGTTTAGCTTAAATGTAAAACTAAAAAAAAGATACTACAAAATAATGGCTGTGTTTGTTTGTATATATAGATAACTTATATATCCTAGCTAAGACATACGGCATTTGCAATATCATTATATATAAAGAGAGAGAGAGGGGGAGAATGGACCGACAAACAGTTATATAGCTGTTCCATACATTCGGAACACAGTTTCTAGTCTAATAAAACGCGAAGAACTTCAAAACGCTTTCATTTAATTTGGATATGAATCGCTTTTATTTGCTTTGCAAGTCAACTGACCGAGTCTTTTGGGGTTTCTTGGAATAATAAATGCAAATTCAAATATAATCTGAATTTTTTAAATATCAACATTTTATTGATACTATATCGTATCACAAATTTTTATCCGATATTTCATTACCTCCTTTTCGAATACAAATTTTAGTTTAAACTGCCGGCTGAAAAAATGTATTCCAATTATTCCCCTTATTAGACTTCCATTTATATATTATCGTTTATGTAACAAAACTTTTTTTATTTTCTAAATGTTTGTTTCCATGACATAAAAAAATAATTGGGAATTTTATTAGTTTCTTTTAATTTAATTTATAATTGAATTGGTCTTATTTATAAAAGCAAAAGAAAATACAATGCAACAAAATCAAATACAGAAAAAAGACAGTGTCGAAAAGAAAAATTAACCTCCAATAATACAAAAAGCAAACAAAATCATTTTTTCTCAAATTTACAACATAAAACATGAAATTAAATTCTCTTCTTAGGGACGACTTTGTAAAACAGAATTTCGAGAATACATTTGTGATATAAATTTTCTGTGCGGTAACAAAATTAAAAAATATATAAATGGAATAAATATTTAAACATAAACAAAAATTTTTCTAAATATTTGTAAAATAATATATGTATATGTATACGGTTTTGTAGAGGTAAAAAAATTAAAACATCTAAAGTTTGGTCTTAAACTAAAATGTGGAGAAGGTGTGGTGTATATGTGTTCGTGTGTTTTGCTCTTCTAAAATATAATGCAGGGGCTGGCTTTTCTGGGAGATAAAATTATGTTATGCTTGTATAATGGTGGTGAGTGGGGGGTTGTAGTGATTGATTGTTAGTAGGTTGCTTTCTTGCTTCTTGTTTTGGACTACATTTACGACTGGGGATGATGCATAAGCGTATGAGAAATGTCCATAGAAACATCGGTGAGGCCATTAACAGCCATGCCATTAACCATACCAGCTACAATAACAGAAAAAAAACAAACAAAACAAAAAAGAAAAGAAAATGATTATGTTTACAGAAGCAAAAATCAATCGATAAACTATTTGGTGAAACTATGCTCACTTGAACGTTGTCCTTGAGCGTCTAATTGAGACCAGTACTGTTCGGAAGGACTTTGTGTACAAGTGCCGGGTGGCGCCTGCACTGGTGCGCCGGTATATCGGAAATAAGGATTTTTCAAATCTAGTGTATTGCTAGATGATATCAATGTGCCTTCGATGTGCAAATCGATGGTTACGTCATACGACTGACGTCTGTTGGCTTCAAGCAGTACACGGCCAGTCAAAACCTGTCCCTGCTTTATGAATATGGGCATGGGCAGCAAACACCGTACTTGATACCAATGGGTCAATGGTGCTGTGGGCGAGGTGGACAGCCAAACCTGCTGGCTGGAACCGCAAAATTCAACATCAAACCAAAAAGCCAAACCATGGCAAATTCCAGTTTGCAGAATATGGAATTCCAAAGGAATATCTGTATGTGATGTAAATTTAGTATTATTATTTTTTCTATCACTGTATCTATCATTTGTGCATGCTTACCAATATTATGTAAATCGTTCTCGTTGTCTCTCATAAAGTCACAGACATGACGTACCGACTTTGCCATGCATATGCGTATATCAAACGTGTCCACAATTGGCTGACGGAAATACTCCTTCATTCCTTCCTTATGAAGTACTGTCAAATCGACGCCATGGAATGCTGATTGGTACCAAAAGTTGGCTTTATTATACTGCTCGGAGTACAATGCCTCATCCGAAAATGGAGCCACATGCAAATCACCATGTGTGGGGAACATCTTTCCGTTGGGTTTCAGCCATTTACGTGCATGCAAATAAGTCTCCAACATACGTTCATTATATAGCATATAGCCCATGGGTTCCGAAATAATCACATCGACATGCTCGGGCAAGTCAATTTCTTCTATTTTACCGGGCATAACAAAGATTTTGTCCTGCACATTATTCGATTCAACGAGTTGTTGGGCATACTGAGCCATATTGGAAGCCTCAATGGCATAGACCTTTGCAGCTCCGGCTTGGACAGCAAAAAATGAAAGGATGCCAGAACCAGCACCGACATCCAGAACAATTTTATTCTGCAAAACAGATATATAATTTATTTATTAATTATACAAATTTAAATTATGTCCTTTGGCTCTTACGTGGAAATCAACAGCATTTCCCAAAATGGCTCTTTGATAGGTGCTGGTGCGAACATAGTCCTGCATCATGTTTTGTTGCTGTGACAAATATCCATAGAACTGAAAATACTGAGAAGCGGAAGACTCTTCGGTTCGTTGTGAAAATACTGACTTTGGCCGCAGTCTTTTGACATGATCGATAAGTTTTCGAAATCTATGTTGTTCTAAATGAAGTATACAAAATTACTTAGTAGGAGAAGAATATAATTACGTCAAATTAATTACCTTGTTCCGTAGGGAATCTTAGAATATAGTTGTCATTATCAAAGGAAACGGCAAATGTTTGACGGCCAACCTGTGCACAGTCAGTTTCGGATGTTAGCAGATATTCCTTTATAGAATTCGAAGATGTAGGTGAATCTAGAAAGAAATACAACATTAAAAAAGTAAAAATTTTAAAAAAAAAATATATTTTTTCTTTACTCACCTAGAGGAATTTTTATAAGTACACCTTGCGAATCATAGCTGCATATCAATGAACATGCTCCCTTATGTTTGGGTCTGAATTCCAAAATATTTTCATCAACAATTTCGCTAATTAGAACACCATTAAAGCTACAAGTGCCACTCGCACTGAGCACCGATGTCGAAGACGACGACATCAGAGCAGAAAAATTGCTGGATGCGACAGGCACAATGGCATTGGTCGTTGAACTGGCGGCGGCATTAGACGTTGAAGTCGAAGTGGCAGATGAACTGTTGGTATTCGATGAAATTGCAGACATCTTTCTTTGTTCTCTTTTGCGGCTCAGTTCAATTGTACGATTTTTTTCACTGGGTATGGTTTGTGTTATATTGTTAAATTGATCTTAAGTGTAATAATTGACGTTGACTGCAATCGGCACAACAACAATTTGTTTTTTTATTGTTTTTCCCTTCTTCGGACTACTTTTTTTTTATGATTCTGCAAAATAATATATTTTCCAATAAGCTTGTAGTTCGGTCGAAAATCGTCACCAGATGACTTAGGAATTACCAATGCAATGTCCTGTATATTGTATTGTTTGCCAATTTTTAGGGGTTATGTCTTCTTCTTGTTCTTATACTATGCAGTTCATGTGAATGTGTTTGAGATAGTAGTAGTGGTGGTGCGGAGTCTTTTTTGTGCTGCTTCACAAGTGTTCAGAATAATGCAAAATTTTCATTAGGGGATAGAGAGCAGCGTCTTTTCTTTGCAAATTGGAATTGATGTCTGGCTACTTTTGGCTATTATTGTTATTGTTGTTGTAACGAACGAATGGCCGACCGACACTCAAGCAAGTAGGGACAAATATTTTGTCTTATTATAAGCGGGTTCTAAAAAAATAGAATTGATTATTACAACTAAAGTTTAGGCCCATCGGAAATAGCAACCAGACGACTTACAATCCAATGTTCCGATGTCCGATTTTTAGGGGCTGATTCCTCTTACGCTATATATATATTACAACAAATACAATTTAATCTCTCCTTAATTCAATTTTATTTACTACATTTATTATTAAATCATTTGATTCACAAATTAATTCGCAACCTCAATTATCGCAAAACACGCGTCGCCATCTTTACAACAAAGAAACAAAGAATGTCATCGAAAGAACAGTAAAAAACAATCACTGAAAAATGGGTGCCGCAACTGACATGTAAGAGCATTCACTGGCGAATAGCCAACTCATGAATTGCCAACTAAACGTTATTGCAATTGGTAACGCAAACTTAACTGGCTGTTAATTTGAAATCATGTATGTGTGTGTATGTGTTCCCGCACACGCAAACGAGCATTCTGTTATAAAAGATGAATAGTAAATAAATTAAATAATATATTTCATCAGTTCAGGTGCAACTAATATTTAAAGATTCAAATAACATTTTATTCGAAACATTTTCAATTAGCATTTCAGAGATACATTAGGCGTATTCTAATTCTCAAAATCATGTACTCGTAGTCTCATCCATTAACCTTATATAATTAGTAATTATAGTCAATTAACATTAAATCGTTTTATTTCAGCAGCAAAAAGGCTCGACGTGCAGCTGATCATGTAGATAGTGATAGTCACGACAGTGATAGTCACGAAGAGGAGTTCTACTACACAGAAGTCGAAGATGATGACGATGACTGCAAAACTCCTAGTCCAACATCACCCCCAACTCTTAGCCACCGTGACATGGCTCGTCCACCACATGAAGATCCCGAATACCAAAGACAATTAGTTGGGAATTTCAAGTAAGTTTCTTCCGTTTCATTGCAGATCAGCTTGATTGGCAGGTCATTAATTAATTTGATTTACCTTCCTCTCGCCCCACGAACAGGCAAGGACGTGTTGCTGCCCAACAGCAACACCTAAACGGCAGGCAAATACATCACGCAAATGGCCAGACAGTTTATATTAGCAGTAGCCAACAACAACAATTACAGAATAACAATACCAGTTGTATACCAACGTCACCGTTGGCCCATCACAACTATACGTGGCCACCGGCTACGGCCACAACAGTGATGACAACATCGCCCATTACGAACACCTCAAATAATGCTGCCGCAAATAATTATCACAATCATCAGCAACACCACCAACCGCAACCGCAGCAACCACAACAATCAACGACGTCACCACAGCTCATCAAACATGCCCGGGCCTCACCACGTCCGTCCCAAACAGCAGCGCCATATCCATCGCCAACATACGTCCATCAGCATCACAACTACAGTAGTCCGGCGCCAGCGAGCCCGAATAATGTGACAAATACTACGCCTATAGTTCACCACAATAACAGTGCCAACAGTGTGCTACACCAGTTGTCACAACAGAACGTCACCGTGACGACACATCACAGCAACAGTCACCATCACCATCAAAACAATCATCATCATCAGCAGCAACAACAACAAATGGCAACGGTTACAATTACTCCAAATTATACACAGGTGCGAAGCGCAAGGGGCACTAATGGCGGTCAGGAAACCCACCAAACACATCAGCTGCAACAGCAGCAACATCATCCTCAACAACACACCCTTGCCCATTCATCACCACAACACCACCAACAACAGCAGCAGCAACCACAACATCATTTGCAACATTCGCCAACAGCCACTGCCAGCAACAGAATGGTTGCATCGAATAACCCCAATTGCTCACCGTCGTCCACTGCCACCACGGCGACGGGGCATGTACACCACCAACAACATGTTGCTGTGCAACATGCAAATCGACAGACGCCCAACTCACCGAATCGCCGTACCAGGGGCGAAAATAAGAAATGTCGCAAAGTCTATGGCATGGAGCGCCGCGATATGTGGTGCACCCAATGCAGGTGGAAGAAGGCCTGCAGCCGCTTTGGTGACTGAAAAAGGCCTAAATCGTCGAAACTGACAACGACGACGACGACAACCACCACTAGCAGCACCACCACAACTACAGCGTCATCATTATTATCATCCACAGCAGCATCATCATCTGTCATACCATCAATAACAAATTCGACTGAAAATGCAACGTCGATGGCGACTAGCATTAATCAAACAACAGTAACAACAATTGCAACCGCAACAACAACAGCAGTAGCAGCACCACCACTCACAGCTTCATTATCGCCAACAGCACCACCGTTTCCTTCAATACCGCCAGCATCAACGGCATCATCATCACCGTCAACCCCAGCTGCCATACCCTCTTTAGGAACTTCGTCATCAGTGGTAAACGCCACAAATTCCCAGGCAACAATAACAAAAATGAATTCCTCAATAAAAACCCCAACAAAACGTCCGGCTCAAGCCTCCCCCTCCCTGAAACCATTACCAAGCAAACAATCAAAGAAAACCAATGCGGCATTAGTTCTCCACAATAACATCAGCGGTAGCGGTGGCAGTAGCAGCACCAACAGACCGAACGTCACAACAACCGATGGCAACCTGTGCGGCGCAGTTGCAACATCTGTCATTGTCAAGCCTAAGACGAGCGGAAATAATATTTTTAAATCGAACACGATTGGTGATAATCATCAATTGCAACAACATGTCTTATCGGCAAATGCAACGCTGACTGTTATAAGTCAGCCCCAATTTGGTGCGATGCCACAGCAACAGCAACAACCACAGTTGTCAAATCAGCACTTTTTGAAATCTACAGCTCATATAATGCCTGATTGCAACGACACAATTGGGACATCAACACCACAACAGCAAATTGTTTTATTGCAGTGTTAAAGAAATGAAATCCTAAATTGTCCCCTTTACTATCTTCACATGTTGTATTTCGAAAAGAAAAGAAAAAAGTAGTTGTTAAACATCTTTCAGTTTGTTGAGATAAAAATACAGCCATAACAACATTGAATGACCCTCCTCCTCAAACAGATTCCAATTAGTTAAAATATGCGACAACCATTTCATATATTTTGTTATTATTTTAGGTATCAATTTTCGGCGATCAATAAATCAGGATTCGAGAACAACAATATTGGACAAGACGGAAACGGACAAAACTATGAACTGTTAATTCCAAATTATATGCTTCATACGCATGTACTTAAAAATGACATTCGGTTGGATCGTATTAGAATTATTTTTAAAATGCAAGTCAGTTTGTATTCAAGTGTGAATAAGTCATATTGGAAGATCCTTTTGTCGCAATTTACAAAATACTTACATGACTGATTTCGAACAGGACGTTGTTCATCATATTGCATATTCGAATGTTTGTTCGTGTGTGTGTCTGTCTGTCTGTTGCAATGTAACAGTGTGTCGTATTACATATCACTGAAATACTTATCGCCAGATTTGTATGAGCATTGCCAATGCAGCATTGTGACTCTGAAATAAAATAGTGGCCGTCGTTTAAGTTTCAATGATTTCATTGAGGTTCTATAAAGAGTATTTTTATCGAATCATTTACTGTTGTTTGGTTGTTTCTTTATTTTATTGCAATTATTATTAAAATCTTGAAACAAAAAAGTTTTCTTCAATATTTTCTTAAAACAAAAAGATTTTTTTCTTATTATTATTTATTATAATTAAAAATATGTCTGAATATATACATATGTATGTATGTACACGTTAAAAAGTACTTGTGCTTGTACATACAAAACCGAGACATGTGTACTTGTATTTTTTTGTCTTATTTTAATTATATATCAAAAATATATTTTATATACAACATTTTTTTTTTTTGTTTTTCTTTTTTGTTTTGTTTTACTTTTTTTATTAGTTTAGTTTTAATCAAATGTTTAATTTTGTTTACACCCATTCACACATACAATATATAATTAAATTATTTTATATGAATTTATCTTATAAGTTTTTAGACAATTTTTCATTAGTTTCGTAAGAGTTCGAAATACAATTACAAACACAATTAATTAATTGAAATTTACCTTTATTATTATTCTTATTATTTTTATTCTAATTATTTTAATACAAAAATATTATCGTTTTTAAATATAAATCAAAAAAAAAATGAGCATCTTGTATAAGCAAGCCCGAGAAATAGAATGAATGAAATGAAAATTAAAAAAAAAAAAAACATAAAACCAACTGTTCATGCAGAAACAAAAAATAGCTTCTAAGTAAATGAAAATTGAAAAGTTGATTTAACTACACAATAATACATAAACAACAACAACAACAAAAAAAAAACAAATACCAATATTTAAAACAAACAAAATAATCCTAGATCAATTTTACTAAAATCAAATATGTCTACATATACATAAATATATATTGCAAATATTACGATGAATTACAAAAACAAAACAAAAAACGCAGAACATACAATTTAAAACCGTTTACATTGTACATTTGCTAAGAGCGGGAAACAAACAACATACATATTAAAATATTAAGTATTACAAATATCACCTTTACATTACAAGAAAGAAGAAAAAAAAAAGAAAAAAACGAAATGTAACAACTACAAATTGTTAAAGTCTAATCGTAGCTAAATAAATCTATAAATAACTTTTATGAAAACAAAAAATGGAGAAAAAAGGGTTAAATCCCAAACCTAAAAACACAAATTTAAAACCCCACCCACTCCCGCTCCCATACCTTTCTATCCATCCGAAAGAAAATGCAAAACAAAAAAAAAATAGCACATATGTAGATCGTATATTAATCGCCACAAATTGAAATAAAGAAAATAGAAAACAAAAGTACAGAATGAAATCGTAACCGAACATAATTTGAAATGCTTCAATTGAGAAGCATTGCACTCTGATATTGCAACTCTGGTACACTGAAACAAAAAAAAAATAATTAAAACCTACCTACAAACAAAAAATGTTCATAACCTCATCATTGCATTCAATCAAAACATCGAGAGCTCTAAACAAATGCAATATTTTTCTATAATTATTATTATTAATTATGTTTTTTCTTTCTTCCTTTCTTAATTACAATCAAAAAGTAAACAATCTCCTTCACATTAAGCATTTGGAGAATATACATAAAAGCCTTAATGTAAGCAAAATATCCATCCGTATTGTCCTATCTGTGATCACATGGATCGTCTGTATGACTCGACTTCAATTTGGATTTGCTTACATAACGTCGTCTACTGTGGCATATTATTTGTTGTCATCTTAAGTGCAACTATTATGAATTTTGTTCAATGTCCTCCAGTAACCGAATACGAATTCGTCACTATATCTCCCCCCTCCCCCTCTATTACATGTGCCTAAATGCCAATAATTTGGTTTCTTCCAATATATTTATATTTATTTTTTATTTGTTTTTGTTTTATTTCATGTTTACAATTTTTTGATGTACTGAAAGTTTTAATGTTGAATATATATAAAGCGTTGTTTTTTTAATGTTGAAGGAGAACAATGTAACATGTGGTCGATCATCAACAAATTTTTATTGTTTTACCCGTGATTTGAATGAAATTCGTGATAGTGGCCATTATTTTAAATGATTTGTTGTTTCCAAAAAAAAAAATATATGAAAAGATTTTTTGTCATTTTATAATAAAAATTATTTTTTATGGATTTTTTTTTTAAATTTAAGTGATATTTTTTATGAAAATGAAATTTATTTGATTTTTTTCCTAATTTTAAGACAACCAACGCCTTCTTTATTTTATTTGTTTGTAACAACATTTTAGATTGAACATCATTTGTACTCATAATATTGCATATACAAATTCTTGAAATTGTATGACATCAAACAACAACAGCAACAGCTATATATATATATATATATACAAATCAAGAAAAACAAACACGTAAACAATTATACAATTTATCTGTGCAAAATCACATGCCTGAACTTCCCCCTATTATGGTTTTTTTTATTATTATTAATTTAACAAACAAAGTTGTAATGATCTTTATTATGTTTATCTTACATAATCACACTATATGCAAAATAAACAATTTATCTTATATTAAAGAAAAAAATATACGATTGTTATTTATAATTACAAAGAAACCTAAATCTTGTGTTTTTATTTTATTTGAATAATTTTGGTGGTTCAGTTTGTTTTGATTTTCTGTTTTGAAATTAATGGTTTGATTTTCGTTTTCATTATTTTATTTTCGAATCTCTTTTGCAGTGAACATCATCTCTAAAAAACTCTGGTGACGAAAAAAGTACGATTCTGAGGCGTTAAAAAATAGTGACGCTTTCAATACCTTTGTTACATTTACACCAAACCTGTCATCATTAAAGTTGTCATTTCATTTGCATATGTGCCAAATAAATGATGATGGCCGTAAAGCATGTTCGATGAACGCGTTTTACATAGACACATCTTTTTTGACATATATTCAAGAGAATTGTCAAATTGTTGGAGTTAAACATTTCATAACATTGGTAAATGCAAATTTAAATAAAAATCTGTTAATAGCTATATTTACCTAGTCTAAATGGCATGTTACACGAGCCATTAACGGCATACGTGCTTTAAAATTTTCCTAATGTGACAGCATTTAGAACTGACAAATGTGAAAGCTTAGATTCGTTCATTTATTTTCCCAGTAAGGCTACGTTTAGACTACTACTAAATCCACTCAAACTTCAATTCCATTGAATATACGTCACGTTAATCCAGTTCACAAATCCAGTGGATTATATTTGACGTATACGCTATGGAATTGACATTTGAAATCGAGCGGATTTAGTAAATCTAAAGGTACCTTAACATTTACTCAGTAAGAATTTGCAGAGAGTAAATATGAATTTTTCGTTCTCAAAAGAAAAAATTGTAAACGAAGAACATCCATTAAAACTATTGTATAGACCAGGTGATTAAAACAACAAATAATTAGGCGCAAACAAAAAACAGCGTTTGTATTAGAAAAATGGATAGCAAGCGCAAAACTAATGTTGTTTATAAATACTTGCGTTTTATTCATCCATTTAAATGTTTAATGATACAAAATCAAAATAAAATTCACTAAACAATCGATTTGCTTGAGAACATTTTTTTTTTTTGTTTACAAAACATAACAAAACAGCTGATGGTACAAGAAAAATTCCCTCTTAAGAATTTGCAAATACTCAGTAATACAACTGTCAAATCTGCTCTTTCAATTCACTCTCTTTTACTGGACTTTTGGGTAAACGAACAACATTTTGTACATATTTGTACAAATTATATAGTAAACGAACGAACCTATTTAGTACTGATTTAAACAGTTTTGAAATCGAAATAACTTTATGCAGACTTTTTTTAAATAAAATTATACACATATTAATTAAATTAATTCCTTGGTGTGGTCAATTATTTTTCATTTAATTTATTCGTTACTTTTTCGTATATATTTTTTCACTTTCATTTTAACACACTAAACAAACTCACACACACAATCCAACATTTGTGATACGTCCAGGAAGCAACTATAAAAACAACTCTGACATTTGGTTCTCAAAATGGTTTCTCAACTTAAACGTAAAATCCAAACCAATCTTTCGTATTCTTTTCTAATGAGCTTACCCCCACATAAAAAAAAAACAAAATCCAGAGTACTAATCAATATAAGGTACAAATAAATCGTTAAAATTTGTAAAAAAAAACAATAGAAGCAAATGTCCCTATGAAAAAATGCTGAGATACATTCAAAACTAAAAACTACTGTAAATTCCTAAACCAAAAAAAAAAAAAAACAAACAAATCATAAGAAGGTACAGAATTATTTTTAAAATAAATATGAAACGAAAAATATTTTTCTAAAATGGCTTATACAAAAAAAATCAACATAACTCAAATT